GAATAGATTCATCACGGAAAACTAGCTGCTTTTTTTTTTTTTTTTAAGAGACGTTACCCAGGCTGGAGTGCAGTTGCTGAGATCTTGGCTCACTGCAGCCTCCATAATTCTCGTGCCTCAGCCTCCCAAGTGGCTGGGATTACAGGCATGTACCACCAAGCCCAGCTAAGTTTTGTATTTTTAGTAGAGACAGCATTTCACCATGTTGGCCAGGTTAGTGTCGAACTCCTAGCCTCAAGTGATCGGCCCACCTCAGCATCTCAAAGTGTTGAGATTACAGGTGTGAGCCACCATGTCCAGCCAGAACTGGTGGCTTTATAAGAAAAGGAAGAGAGACCTGAGCTAGCACGGGAGCATGCTCAGTGCCCCACCATGTGTTGCCCTGCATCACACTCAGAACTCTGCAGAGAGTCCCCACCAGCAAGAAGCTCTTCATCAGATGTGGCTTCTCAACCTTGGACTTCCTAATTGAAAGAAATCAATTACTTTTCCTTATAAATTAGGTATATTTAGTTTCAGTTTCAGGTATTCTGTCATAAGCAACAGAAACCAGACTAAGGCCATGAACACTCACTCTGTATACACTCTGCAACACAGAAGGGGGTGTAATTGACAGGTGGTTCCTTGTCTCAAGAAGCTCCCCCAATAGCGAGGAGCCAGAGACACAAAGGAAGGGCTATCATACAGCATGCAAACTGATGCTCAGCTGCCCCGGGTACATCATTTAGGAGTACTTTCAGTGACAAGTAGGAGAGTGACTGTGGGTCATTTACCTTGACCATTCCCTCATCCTTGTCATCTTATGATGGCAGAAAGGCTGCCCTAGCTCCACATATCACATGTACAGTCAAAGGAGGAAGAAAAGAAAAAAGACATAGATCATTAGCTATATTTTCCCATATATCAAGAAAAGCAAAAGACTTCCCAGAAATACCAACATATTTGGTTACAGCTCATTGGTTAGAACTATGTCACATGGCACCCCAGGCTGCCAGGGAGGTTGCAAACATGGGTATCTCACCTAAGGCTAAACTGACTAACAAAATCAAGTTTCCATTAGCAAAACAACAGGTACTGGATATTGGGTGTGCAGTTAACAGTGTGTCAATGAAACGCAAATTAGGCCAGGTGCAGTGGCTCCTGCCTGTAATCCCAGTGATTTGGGAGGCTTTCTGGGGGGGGAATCACTTGAGGCCAGGAGTTGATCAGCCTGGTCAATGTAGCAAGACCCCCATCTCCACACACACAAAAAATTAAGAAATAAAAAAATAGAAAATAGCCAGCACTTTGGGAGGCCGAGGCAGGCAGATCACCCGAAGTCGGGAGTTGGAAACCAGCCTGACCCCCATGGTGAAACCCCATCTCTACTAAAAATACAAAAATTAGCCAGGCATGGTGTCAGGCACCTGTAATTTCAGCTACTCAGGAGGCTAAGACAGCAGAATCACTTGAACCCTGGAGGTGGAGGTTGCAGTGAGCTGAGATCACACCACTGCACTCCAGCCTGGGTGACAGCAAGACTCTGTCTCTGTCTCAAAATAAATAAATAAATAAAAAGGCTGGGTGTGGTAGCTCACACCTATAATCCCAGCACTTTGGGAGGCGGAGGCAAGTATATCATTTGATGTCAGTAGTTCAAGACCAGCTTGATCAACATGGTGAAACTCTGTCTCTACTAAAAATACAAAAAAATTAGCCAGGTGTGGTAGCGCACGCCTGTGATCCTAGCTACTGGGGAGGCTGAGATGGAGGATCACTTGAACCCGGGAGGTGGAGATTGCAATGAGCTGAGATTGTGCCATTGCACTCCAGACTGGGTGACAGAGTGAGACTCCATCTCTAAATTAATTAACTAATTAAATAAGTTAGCCAGGCATGGTGATTCGTACCTGTAGCCCCAGCTACTCAGGTGGCTGAGGTGGAAGGATCACTTGAGCCCAGAAGTTTGAGGCTGCAAGGAACCATGATTGCACCACTGCACTCCATCCTGGGTTACAGAGCAAGACCCTGTCTCCAAAAAAAAAAAAAGTAAAGAAATACAAATTAAAATGACAGGTCTTTCTTGCTTATAAAAAGGTTGATAATACCCAGTGTTGGAAAGATGGAGGAAAGTGAACATTTCCAGAATTTTTCTTTTTAGGGGCAGGGTGTGGAGTCTTGCTCTATTACCCAGGCTGGAGTGAAATGGCAAGCCTGCCCGCCTAGGTTCAAGTGACCCTCCCGCCTCAGCCTCCCAAGTAGCTGGGACTACAAGCATGCACCACCACACTCAGCAGATTTTTGTAATTTTAGAGGAGATGAGGTTTTGTCATGTTCCTCAAGCTGGTCTCAAACTCCTGGGCTCAAGGGATACACCTGCCTTGGCCTCCCAAAGTGCTGGGATTACAGGGGTGAGCCACCATACCCAATCTGAACATTTTCATAATTTGTTTTTAGAAGTATATAATCCTGGCCGGTCACAGTGGCTCATGCCTGTGATGCAAGCACTCTGGGAGGCCAAGGCGGGCAGATCACCTGAGGTCAGGAGTTTGAAATCAGCCTAGCCAACATGGTGAAACTGACTCTATTAAAAATAAAAAAAAATTAGCCAGTCATGGTGGTTCGCTCCTGCATTCCCAGCTCCTGCAGAGGCTAAGATGGGAGAATCACTTGAACCCAGAGGTTGCAGTGAGCCAAGATTGTGCCACTGCACTCCAGCCTGGGTGACAGAGTGAGACTCTGTTTTAAAAAAAAAAAAACATAAATAAAAACAAAGTGCATAATTCCCACTTGGCAGTATACTGCAAATCAAGATCTTTTTAAATGTTAATATACTTTGAACTAGCAATTCCATTCCTAGAAAGTTATTCTAAGAATATAAGCACATGAAAATAAAGTGTTGGCCAAGCATGGTCCCTCACACCTGTAATCCCCAGCACTTTGGGAGGCCGAGGTGGGTGGAACACCTGAGGTCAGGAGGTCACGACCAGCCTGACCAACATGGTGAAACCCTGTCTCTACTAAAAATACAAAAATTAGCCGAGTGAGGTGGCACACGCTTGTAATCCCAGCTACTCAGGAGGCTGAGGCAGGAGAAGGGACCCGGGAGGCAGAGGTTGCAGTGAGCTGAGATTTTGCCACTGCAATCCAGTCTGGCGACAGAGACTCCATCTCAAAAATTAAAAATAAAAAATAAATAAAGTGGTGTTAAATTAGAAAACCACCCACATATCTAACAATAGGGAATTGGTACAATAAATGAAGACAGCTCCATATAATATAATGCAATATAATCATTTTTTAAAATTAATAATTGGATATTAGATTGAAAGTATGTATAAGCCTCACATGGTGGCTCATGCCTGTAATCCCAGCACTTTGGGAGGCCGAGGTGGGCATATCACAGGAGGTGGGGGGGTTTTGAGACCAGCCTGATCATCATGGAGAAACCCCATCTCTACTAAAAATACAAAATTAGTGGGACGTGGTGGCACATGCCTGTAACCCCAGCTACTGGGGAAGCTGAGGCAGGAGAATCACTTGAACCTGGGAGGCAGAGGTTGTGATGAGCCGAGATCGCGCCATTGCACTCCAGCCTGGACAACGAGTGAAACTCCATCTCAAAAAAAAAAAAAAAAAAAAAAGTTTTGTATCAATTTTAAATGTACTAAAGGTGCGAATTTATCATGGTTATGTAAGAGAATATCCTAGATCTCAAAAAATATGCCCTCCTGTTGGTAGGAATGTAAATTAGTACAGCCATTATGGAAAACAGTATGGAGGTTCCTCAAGAAATTAAAAATAGAACTACTCACATGATCCAGCAATTCCACTTCTGAGAATGTACCTGAAGGAAATGATATCAGTACGTTGAAGATTTATCTGCACTCCCACGTTCATTGCAACGTCATTCACAATAGCCAAGATATTGAAAAAACCTAAGTGGATTTACAGATAAAGAAAATGCATTGGCCAGGTGCAGTGGCTCACTCCTATACTCCCAACGCTTTGGGAGGCCAAGGCGGGCAGATCACGAGGTCCAGAGATCAAGACCACCCTGGCCAACATGGTGAAACCCCATCTCTACTAAAATACAAAAAAATTAGCCAGGTGTAATGGCACCCCCCTGTAGTCTCAGCTACTCAGGAGGCTGAGGCAGGGGAATTGCTTGAACCTGGTAGAGGTTGCAGTGAGCCAAGATCATGCCACTGCACTCCAGCCCCGGCAACAAGAGTGAAGCTGCACCTCAAAAAAAAAAAAAAAAAAAAAGAATACTTCCAGGCTGGAGTACAATGATGCAGTCTCGACTCACTGCAACCTCCACCTCCCAGGTTCAAATGATTCTCCTGCCTCAGCCTCCTGAGTAGCTGGAACTACAGGTGCATGCCACCACACCTGGTTAATTTTTATATTTGTAGTAGAGATGAGGTTTCACTATGTTGGCCAGGCTGATCTTGAACTCCTGACCTCATGATACACCCGCCTCGGCATCCCAAAGTGCTGGGATTACAAGAGAGAGCCACCATGCCCAGACAAAACAAAAGTTTTCAAACCCTAACCAATGGGTCATCTTCATATAATAAAATTTGAATATAATTTTTTAAAAAAGAAATATATCCTGAAAGATTTAAAGATAAAAGGTCATGATGCATGTAACTTACCCTCAAAAACTCCAAGGAAAAATGTGGATATATACATATAGATACAGGGAGATAACATGTAGATTATGACACAAACGAAGTGAAATGTGATCTCCAGGTGAATCTGGGTCAAGGGTATACAGTTGTACTTTGTGCCATCTTTATTCTTGTAACTTTTCTGTAATATTGAAATAATTTCTAAACAAAAAGCTTTTTAAAGTATTAGGGTTTGGAATTTCCTTTGAAATACATCAACAAGTAAGACAGAATAATAGATGAACTTAGGAATGATAAATGGATAGATATGGTAAAAATGTTATAATCTATGTTCAATGTTTTTTTTTTTTTTTTTCCGAGACAGAGTCTCACTCTGTTGCCCAAGCTGGAGTGCAGTGGCACAATCTAGACTCACCGGAACCTCCGCCTCCCAGGTTCAAGCAGTTTTTGTGCCTCAGCCTCCGTAGTAGGTGGGATTACAGGCATGCGCCACCATGCGCAGCTAATTTTTGTAATTTTAGTAGAGATGGGCTTTCACTATGTTGGCCAGGCTATTCTCAAACTCCTGACCTCAAATGATTTGCCCACCTTGGCCTCCCAAGGTGCTGGGATTACAGGCATGAGCCACCATGCCCAGCCTATGTTCAAATTTTTTTATAATAAAATGGTGTGGGGCAGAGGGGAGAACAAGGCAAAACAATATGACGTGTCATGGAAAAATATCACCAAATCAGGAAGTCTGTTGTTTTAGAAGCCACTGGAAGGGGCTTTATGCCCACCTTCCTGTTCCTACTGTTTCCTGGTATTTCCTCCCAGCTACTCTGGAGGCTGAGGCAGGAGATTCGCTTGAACCCAGGAGGCAGAGGTTGCAGTGAGCCAAGATGGCGCCATTGCACCAAATAAATTTATCTTATATTTAACAAAATTTAGAATGTGTTTGCAACTGTGTGCTAGTTTTTAGAATGAATCAAGAATGAACAAATGTTGATTCTTGCGCTTAATTTTTCTGGAAAATTACATGATTTAAGATATAGTATCATTCATTTTACATCTGACTCATGGTAGAGTCAAAAAGAGGGTCTAAAAATATTTAGACTTCTTTGTTTTCTTCTCAAAGGCCTCTTTAATCCTTTGGTAGTCAAATCACTCATTTTTTTTGGTGCCTCTGTTTTCCTTTTATTCATATCCCTTTCGATGTAGCTAGTCCTCAGCTAATTGACCAAAAGTTGTAAAGTAATTATCCCATTTACCATGTTATTCATCATTCTGGATATTTTTGTGGGATATCTCATAGAAAAAAATAAGCCATTTTATGATGTTGCATCATTCAGAAAATGATTTCAGTGGTTGGGTGTTGTGGCTTATGCCTGTAATCCTAGCACTTTGGGAGGCTGAGGTGGGCGGATCACTTGAGGTCAGGAGTTTAAGACCAGCCTGGCCAACATGGTGAAACCCTATCTCTACTAAAAATACCAATATTAGCGGGATGTAGCACCTGTAATGCCAGTTACTTTAGGAGGCTGAGGCTGGAGAATCGCTCAAACTGGGAGGCGGAAGTTGCGGTGAGCCGAGATTGCGCCATTGCACTCCAGGCTGGGCGACAGCAAGACTCAGTCTCAAAAAAATAAAAAAATGGTTTACAGCGAGGTGTGGTGGTTCACGCCTGTAATCTTAGCACTTTGGGAGGTTAAGGTGGGCAAATCACTTGAGTCCAAGAGTTTAAGACCAGCCTGGGCAACATGGCAAAATCCTGTCTCTACTATAAATACAAAATTTAGCTGGGCGTGGTGATGTATGCCTGTAATCCCAGCTACTCAGAAGGCTAAAGGAGGAGAATCACTTGAGCCTAAGAGGCAGAGTTTGCAGTGAGCCAATATTGCACCACTGCACTCCAGCCTGAACAACACAGTAAGACTCAGTCTCAAAATATATATGGCTAAAAAATGTTGGCCGAGCATGGTGGCTCACACCTGTAATCCAACACTTTGGAAGGCTGAGGTGGACTAATCAGTTGAGGTCAGGAGTTTGACAGCAGCCTGGCCAACATGGTGAAACCCCCATCTCCACTAAAAACACAAAAATTAGCTGGGCGTGGTGGTGCCTGCCTGTCGTCTCAGCTACTCTATTCACAAAGCTGAGGCAGGAGAAGGCTGAGGCAGGAGAAGTACTTGAACCCAAGAGGCAGAGGTTGCAGTGAGCTGAGATTGCGCCACTGCACTCCAACCTGGGCAACAGAGCAAGACTACATCTCAAAAGTAAACAAAAATAAGTAAAAATAAAAAATACAGCCAGGTGTGGTAGCTCACGCCTGTAATCCCAGCACTTTGGAAGACCAAGGCAGGCAGATCACCTGAGATTGGGAGTTTGAGACCACCCTGGCCAACATGGTGAAACCCCATCTCTACTAAAAATAAAAAATTAGCTGGGTGTGGTGGCACACACCTGTAGTTCCAGCCACTCGGGAGACTGAGGCAGGAGAATCACTTGAACCTATGAGGCGGAGGTCGCAGTGAGCAGAGACTGCACCACTGCACTCCAGCCTGGGCAACAGAGTGAGACTTCATCTTAAAAAAAAATACAAAACTCTAAAGATCATCTGAGCCTTTAGTAAATCACAATCTTTTTGCTGGTTGAGGGTTGCCTTGATGTTGAGGGCCTTGCTCTGGTTTACACTTTGACTTAGGGGAATGTTGTGGTTGGTTTGATCTATTCAGACCGCCAAGCTTTCTCTTTTTTTTTTTTTTTTTTTTTTTACACGATGGAGTCTTGCTCTGCTGCTGAGACTGGAGTGTAGTGGCTCAAGCTCAGCTAACTGCAACCTCCACCTCCCAGGTTCAAGCGATTCTCCTGCCTCATTACCCAGAGCAACTGGGATTACAGGCGCCCACCACCATGCCCAGCTAATTTTTGTATTTTTAACAGAGACAGTGTTTCACCATGTTGGCTATGCTGGTCTCGAACCCCTGACTTCAAGTGATCCACCCACCTCAGCCTCCCAAAGTGCTCGGATTATAGGAATGAGCCACCCTACCTGGCCTTTTTTTTTTTTTTTTCGAGATGGAGTCTTGCTCTGTTGTCAAGGCTGGAGTGCAATGGCACAGTCTCAGCTCACTGCAACCTCTGCTTCCTGGGTTCAAGTGATTCTCATGCCTCAGCCTCCCAAGTAGCTGAGAATATAGGCACACCATGGTGCCTGGCTAATTTCTGCATTTTAAATAAAGACAGGGTTTCACCATGTTGGCCAGGCTGGTCTCGAACTCCTGGCCTCAACTGATCAGCCACCTCAGGCTTTCAAAGTGCTGGGATTACAGGCATGAGCCACTGTTCCCGGCCGCCACAAAACTTTAATTTGTTAAAAAAGAAATAAAGCGAAGCACCATAAGATGGAACGGGAGCAGTGGCTCATCCCTGTAATCCCAGCACTTGGGGAGACCGAGGTGGGCAGATCACAAGGTCAGGAATTTGTGACCAGCCTGGCCAGCACAGTGAAACCCCATCTCTACTAAAAATACAAAAATTAGCTGGGCATGGTGGCTTGCCTGTAGTTCCAGCTACTCAGGAAGCTGAGGCAGGAGAATTGCTTGAACCCGGGAGGTGGAGGTTGCAGTGAGCCGAGATAACGCCACTGCACTCCAGCCTGGGCAACAAAGCAAGACTCTGACTCAAAAAAAAAAAAAGATGTATTTTAATATATAAATGAGGCACAACTACCACTGAAATAACATAGTCGGACATTTGCACATGTAGTTCTGAACAAATCAATTTAGCTACATTCCAGGAAAATTCAGGGTACATTTACGGTAATCATTACACTGCTCACAAAGATTTCCAGTTCTGCTTTTCCTAGGCAGAAGTAGGTCTAAACTTCCCAACTCCCTAGAAATTAAACGTGGCCATGTGATTCGCATTCACCAATGAAATGTGCATAAGTGACCTTTGTCATTCAAGGCTGGTGCAGGTAATGTTTATGCAAAACTCCGAACAGGGTCCTGAGAGACTACTATGAGTTGGGCAGAATACTCACCCCATCTACATTGACATGTAGCATGATGGGAAACCAACTTTTAGGTTAAGCCATTGAGATTTGGGGGTTACTTGTTACTGAAGGTTACTTGTAACCTTGCCTGATAAATATTGAAACTGTTCCCTGCAAAAAGAGTTTATGTTTTTCTGCAAAATAAAATTCGGTTCCAGGCTCTGATCATTATCCAGTAGCATTGGAAAGTCATGAAGGATTCAGGACAATTCTGTTATTCTAGACTATTTTCATCCCTGTCTACCCACACCCAGTAAACAGTAGAAGGATGCCCTCAATCTTTATACAACTCAAACACCAACTCCACAAATTCCCAAAACACTCCCAGATGAACTGGCCTTCAGGGACCAGACATATCACAAAAACTAGTGCAGTGGGCTGGACGAAGACAGGTCCAGGGAGCAGCGGGACTTCTAAAGAAGCAACACAGTTCACTCCCCATAGTTTGGTGTCATCAGGGAATATACCAAGAATTACCAAATCTTCTAGTGATTCCAGGGAAAGCTAAAATGCAGATTCTATGTAGAATCTTTTGATTTCTAAATATTGGCAACAACTTTTAAAGATTTTTAACTGTTCTGGGAACCAAACAAAACAGTTCTGCTGGTTTGGTGTGGCTCATGTTGTCTCACTTTGCAAAGTGTTAAGTGCTAGAGAAATTTTTGTGATTTTTTGAGACAGGGTCCCACTTTGTTGCCCGGGCTGGAGTGTGGTGGCCATGATCTCCACTCACTGTAGGCTCGACCTCCCGGGCTCAAGCAAACCTCCCACCCTCAGCTCCCCCGAGGAGCTGGGAGTACAGCTGCCCCGCCACCGGGCCCAGGTAATTATTATTATTATTATTGGTATTTTAGTAGATATGGGGTTTCAATATGTTGGCCAAGCTGGTCTGAACTCTTGGTGTCAAGTGATCCACCTGCCTCAGCCTTCCAAAGTGCTGAGATTAAAGGCGTGCGCTACCCCACACAGCCAAAAAAAAAAAACCCTTTTTTTTTTTTTTTTTTTTTTGAGACGGTCTCTGTCGCCAGGCTGGAGTGCAATAGCCTGATCTTGGCTCACTGCAACCTCCGCCTCCCAGGTTCAAGCGATTCTCCTGCTTTAGCCTCCCCAGTAGCTGGGACTACAGGCACGCACCACCATGCCCAGCTAATTTTTTGTATTTTTAGTAGAGACGGGGTTTCACCATGTTGGCCAGGATGGTCTCGATCTCTCGACCTCGTGATCCGCCTGCCTCGGCCTCCCAAGGTATTAGGATTACAGGCGTGCGCCACCGCGCCTGGTCAAAATTTTACCTTGTATTTAGTCAAATTCTCTTCTTTTCCAAATGAAGAAACAGATTGAATAACTCTGTCCAAGTGTATAGTGACTTACCCAGGCCACATAGTTGTATACGATAGTGATGACAATCGCTAATGTGGTCCTTACCTCTCGTTTGTGTGTGTGGGGGGAGGGGAGGAGAGAGAGAGAGGGGAGGAGGGTGGGGGTGAGAGAGACAGAGAGAGAGAGAGAGAGAGAGAGAGAGAGAGAGACACACACACACACACACACACACACACACACACAGACAGACACACGGAGTTTCGCTCTTGTTGCCCAGCCTTGAGTGCAATGGCCGGATGTTGTCTCACCGCAACCTCCGCCTCCCGGGTTCAAGCGATTTTGGGAGTGTGCCTCAGCCTCCCAAAGTCCTGGGATTACAGGGGTGAGCCACCGCGCCCGGCTGCAAATCTTACTTAATAATGAAGTCGGCTTTTTGTTATCCCACTTAACTAATTAATAGGAGAGGCCAGCTCTGATTTCCAATCCACTATGGTGCACTCTTTCCTGCCAAGCCGTCGTAGTCGTTCCATTAAAAAAAAAATTCCTGCTTTCCTGCCTCGCCTGTGCGTTTCCTTGGTCGCCCTTTCAGGGCATGTCCTGATAAGTGCCACAGAAAAATGACGAAGTGGAAAAGACAGAACATAAAATGAAAATTTAAGAGGAAATGGTGTCACAAGGAAAACGAAGGCCAGGGGACCCCGTGAAGCGCCAGGCAGGGTGCACAACGGTCCTGGGAGAAAGTTCGAGAAGAACTTCCCGCGAACAGGTCCCGCCGGCGGCCGGGAACACATGCACTTCTTATGCTATGATTTGGACTTTCCCGAACCTTTTGTAGCGGAACGAAGGCTTAGCGGTGAGGAGTCGAATCTGGCAAACCGAAGAGAAAGGAGGTGCCCAGCCGTGGCCGTCCGCCCGCTGGTTCACGTGACACGGCCAAGATGGCCGACCGGGAAGGAGGCTGCAATGTGGGTTTGGAGCCAGAGCCCCGGCCGCAGCCGCAGCCGGGGCCCAGGTCAGAGCTCGAGGCCGAAGAAGAGTTCGAAGTTGTGGACCGAAGCCACCTGCCCTGTCCGGGCGACCTGCGAACGCAACGAAGCGGCGGGAGTCGGAGAGCTGATCCGCGCCCATCCTGACCCTGGCCCGCAGGGCCACGGGGAACCTCTCGGCGAGCTGCGGGAGCGCGCTGCGCGCGGCCACGGGGCTGGGCGGCCGGGACGACGGGGACGGCGCGGCGCGCCCAGGTAGGCTCGGGCCACGTCTCTCCCGCGGCGGACCCGCGTGTCCACGCTGGCCACCGGCGCGGGCGCGGTGGGGGCCAGGCTGGGAGGGCGCGGCCTGCCTGGCAGGTTACAGGAGCTGTTGGTCGGCGGGCGGCGCCTGGCTGTGCGTGGGTCTTTACCATGGCGGTCAAGTTAAGACCGTCCCCCCTGCAGCCCGCGTGTCTGGGCGCGCTCCCGCACCCGCGCTTCTTTGCTCACCCACTGACTAGATGAAGGACGTGTGCGCGTGCAGGCTCCGGGACTCTGTAGTAAGTCCACACACGAAACGGAGCCGGCACGCTTCTGCTTTTCAACCACTCAGTGCGGTGGGGATGCGGGCCCTGCGCACAGCGGACCAGCAGTGCCTCCGTTCACCAGCCGTACCTCCGCTCACCTCTGGCTGTGAGATGGGGATTTTAAAGTCACCCGCTGGTCTCTTAAAGACATTTTCAGCCCTTGTAATGAATAGAGTGCCAGCATATCAGTGATAGTAAGATTTTGATTTAGCCCTCTAACACCAGGCATCCAGAGCTGTGGTGTCCAATACGGCCGCACGTGTATGTTTTGTTGGTTTGTTTGTTTTGTTATTGTTGGGTTTTTGTGGTTTTCTGTTTGTTTTCGAGATGGAGTCTCGATCTGTCGGCCAGGCTGGAGTGCAGTAGCGCGATCTCGGCTCACTACAACTTCTTCCTCCCGGGTTCAAGCAGTCTCTGCCTCAGCCTCCCAAGTAGCTGGGATTACAGGTGCCCGATACCACGCCCGGCTAATTTTTTTGTGTTTTTAGTGGAGACGGGTTTTCACCACCTTGAGCAGATTGGTCTCGAACTTCTAACCGTGATACATCCACCTCAGCCTCCCAAAGTGCTGAAATTACAGGCGTGAGCCAACGTGCTCAGCCAGCAGCACGCATATGTTTAAATGTAAAATTAAAATTCTATTGAAAAGTTACATCTCTCAATTTTTTTTTTTTTCTAGGTGGAGTTTCGCTCTTGTTGCCCAGGCTGGAGTGCAATGGTGGGATCTCGATTCACTGCAACCTCTGCCTCCCGAGTTCAAGCACTTCTCCTGCCTGAAGCTCCAGAGTAGCTGGGATTACAGGCATTGTGTCACCATGCCCAGCTAATTCTTTTTTTTTTTTTTTTTTGGAGACGGAGTCTCATTCTGTTGTACAGACTAGAGTGCAGTGGGTCGATCTCAGCTCCCTGCAACCTCTGCCTCCTGGGTTCAAGCAGTTCTGCGTCAGCCTTCTGAGTAGCTGGGACTACAGATATGCCCACACTGGGCTAATTTTTCTATTTTTAGTAGAGATGGGCTTTCACCATCTTGCCCAGGCTGGTCTCAAACTCCTGACCTTAGGTGATCCACCTGCCTTGGCCTCCCAAAGTGCTGGGATTACAGGCTTGAGCCACTGCACCTGGCTGTCACCCGGCTACACTTGTATTTTTAGTAGAGACGGGTTTCTCCATGTTAGTCAGGCTGGTCTCGAACTCCCGACCTCAGGCCATCCCCCCACCCCATCCCCGGCCCTTGGCATCCCAAAGTGCTGGGATTACAGGTGTAAGCCACCATGCCCGGCCGAATTCCTCAATTTCTAAAAAGATAAAATGAAATGTGTCTGTACGTAGCACAGAATAATAAGTGTTTGCTGAAAAAAACGCATATTTGAAAAATACCTGTTTTCCATCTATGGAAGTGGTACAAACAATAGCCAACACTTATATTGTCCTTCCAAGGTGCCAGACATTAGTCTTAAATCTGTACAAGTGTTCATTTATTCCTCACAACAACCGTATGTGTTAGCGGGACTAACTTCATGTGTGTACAATCAGTGCAGGCTTTGATCACTGTGGTTGAAAGGGTCAGGCACTTAGAAGTGTCCCATGCTTGAAATTCTTAATTTTATCTTTGAATTTGTGGCTTTTGAGTGAAGTCAGTCCAATGGGACAGGTTCTCACAGCTGACCCACTTGAGCTGCC